AAAAAATTACACCATATTAAAGACAGTTTAGAATTTGTGAAAAAGAACAAATTAGAATTTTTGAAACAAATATCATAACAAAGTTGAATATTCTGCAAAATCAAAGTACGTTAACAGTATAGTAATAAAACTAAACAAAAGCTGGAAACCACTATCCTCTCCTCTTGAAATATTATTCAACCAATGATTATGGCTCTTCGCTAATAACAAACGGCAAGGATAAAAGAGAAGAATGAGCGGCGACTCTAGGGTTTTGACGATTGGCGGTAGGGTTTTGGAGAAGGGAGATCGGGATGCGACTATGATGGAGGTGGGAGACCAAGCAAGACCACCAGGAGAGCCGCCAGATGTGACGACCTCATGGGTAGCGAAGGCAGCGGGTACGAATGGAGGAGGTATGCCAGATCCCGAGAGTCTGATAGATGATTCCTTTGTATCGGAGAGACTTTGGGTGGAGTTCCCAAACGGAGAGGACGGTGAGCCATTGATTACAATTGGAACGAAGGTGTTGGAGGCGATGAACGGGATGTGGAAGCAGTGCATGATTATTAGGGTTTTGGGGAGAAGTGTTGCGATTACTGCCTTGAGCAAGAAACTAAGAGAATTATGGAGTCCAAAGGTAATAATGCATGTAATGGATCTTCCAAGACAGTTCTTTATGGTTCGGTTTGAGAAGGAAGATGACTACTTGACAGCATTAACAGGAGGCCCGTGGAGGGCGTTTGGTAGTTATCTCATGGTGAGAGCTTGGTCACCAGAATTTGATCCTTTGCGAGATGACATCGTGACAACGCCGGTGTGGATCAGATTGTCGAACATCCCTGTGAATTTTTATCATCGATCAATACTTATGGGGATTGCCAAGGGATTAGGGAGGCCAATTCGTGTTGACCTAACGACGTTGAACTTTGAACGTGCACGCTTGGCAAGAATTTGTGTCGAAGTAAATCTCGCAAAGCCATGAAAGGGGACGGTTCTAATAAATGAAGAGAGGTATTTCGTGGCGTATGAGGGGTTGTCAGTAATATGTTTGAAGTGTGGGATCTATGGACACTTGGTTCATGTATGTCCAAAAACAATTGCTGAAAGGATGGCTAACTTAAATACGCAGACAGAGACGCAAGCTGAGTCGAGGCCAGCTACAAAGCAAGGAAAACAAGTGCAAGATGATGGCTTTATTCCAGCAAGGGGACCAAAGAGGGTGACACAGATGAGACCTCGAAATGAGCAGGGAGGGACTGGGGAGGCCAGTGGAGTGGCAAACCAGAAAATTCAAGTGACCCATAGGAACAGGGAGACTGCAGCGATCGCTTTATCTAACAAATATGGAAGTCTGGAGATAGACACGAACGTGGAGGCAACACAAATAGAGTTGGTTTCTGGAGAGGGGAACAAGGAGAATCATGATCTGAACATTAATAGGAACATGAGTAAAGGGAACTTGCAGAGCAAGGAGGCTTTAGTTGTTGGTGGGAGTACAACTCTACCTACTGGGCCGAAAATGGGGAACAAGGAGAAGTGGGCTGGAAATAAGAAGATGGGAGAGGGAACACGTGGAAGGCCCAAAAATCTAAACAATAGGCCCGCCAGAGGTTTGGTCTTTGGACTGACCAAAGGGGAGATTAGTTTGTCGGAATCGGGCAAGAGACTGAGAGTAGAGAGGTTGGACGCCGGAAGAGTTAGTGGCGTTTTCAGAGAGAGTACGGTGGAGACCGAGGGTGCGGTGAAACAGTTGTGGTTAAGGGATGAGCAGGTGGATAATCCGATGGAGAGTACTGCTGGCGCGATGGAAGAGAGCGAGTCTGATGTGCAGACGAAGCCGCAGGGAGATGGAAGGGCTCTATCTCTCGCATAACAGGGCACCCCGGTAGTTCACTTAGACCTTATTATCAGAGAGATAATGAATTGCATATTCTAGAATTGCCGGGGGGCAAATAAACCCAATTTCAGACGTTCTATTAGATACATTTTGAAGAAGTTTGACACGGACGTTCTTGCGCTTTTCGAGACTCACGCGGGAGGAGAGAAAGCTATGAAGATTTCTCAGAATCTGGGATTCGATAACTCTTTTCGGGTTGATGCTGTTGGCCAGAGTGGTGGCATTTTTATTTTGTGGAAAAATAATGCGGGTGCTTTAACGATTGTGGAATCGTCGGAACAGTTTGTCCACGCAAGGGTGGAGATGGGAACGGAGGTAATTCACCTGATCGCGGTCTATACTGCGCCTATAGCCAGTCGTCGAAGTGGTTTGTGGGGACAGTTGAAGCGAGTGATTGAAGATATTTCGGAGCCGGTACTGGTAGGAGGAGATTTTAATGCTATCTTGAGGTTAGATGAGAGGTCTGGAGGGAGTGGAAGGCTTTCACCCAATAGCTTGGCGTTTGGTGAGTGGATAAATGAGCTGGCGCTGGTTGATATGGGTTTCAGAGGAAACAATTTCACATGGAGAAGGGGTAAAGAGACCCGTAATTTTGTAGCCAAAAGGTTAGATAGAGTCCTGTGTAGTGCTCAAGCACGGGTACGGTGGCAGGAGGCGGTGGTGTCTCACCTTCCGTTTCTAGCGTCTGATCACACACCAATTTATGTGCAGTTAGAAACTGAAGAGAAAGGGAACCCCAGGAGGAGACCTTTTCGCTTTGAAGCCACATGGCTGAAACACGAAGGTTTCAAGGAACTACTTTCAGCATCTTAGAATGGGGAAATGCGGACTCCGGAGGCACTGATGTTGTTGAAAGTGAAGCTTCGGAAGTGGAATAAAGAAATTTTTGGTGATGTTAAACAGCGGAAAGAAAGGTTAATGAATGATATCAAGGAAATTCAAGAGAAGCTGGAGAGAAACCCGACAGATGACATGTTGGAGAGGGAAGCAGCTTTACAAAAAGAATTTGATGTTGTTTTGGAGCAGGAAGAGGTTCTGTGGTACCAGAAGTCGCGTGAGAAATGGGTAGTGCTTGGTGATAGGAACACGAACTACTACCATACCAGTACCATAGTTAGGAGGAAGAGAAACAGAATCGAGATGCTTAAAGATGATGATGGTCGTTGGATAGAAAATTCGGAGGAGTTGGAGAAGCTGGCAATAGCTTACTACAAGCGATTGTATTCAACAGAGGAAGTATGGCAAACGGGAACTGGTTGGTTACATGAAGAAATTGCATTATATATGGCGACGTCAGACCGCCTGAGATTGGCCGCGGTGGTAATAGATGAAGTAACCGGAGCTAGAGATAGAATTTCGTGGGGAGGGAGTAAGGATGGTGTGTTCACGGTGAAGTCAGCCTATGATTTTTTAACAAAAGATAAGACACCGACGCAGAATATGGAGGCATTATACCAGCGGGTGTGGAGAGTAATGTCTCTTGAACGGGTTCGAGTGTTTTTGTGGTTAGTAACACACCAGGTGATCATGACAAATGGGAACGTAAACGTCGACACCTGAGTGAGACAAGTGTGTGTACTTTGTGCAAGAGTGGAGAGGAAACCATCCTTCATGTGCTGCGAGACTGCCCAGCAGCTGCGGGGTTGTGGACGCGATTGGTTCCTCGGAGTAGGCAACAACGTTTCTTTCAACTTCCACTTTTAACATGGCTTTTTGAAAATCTGGCGAAGGGAGAAGCTGGAAGTGGGAACTTATGGCCAACGACCTTTGCTCTAACGGTTTGGTGGTGTTGGAAGTGGAGATGCAGTTATGTTTTTGGAGAGGATGGAAAGTGTCAGGATAGAGTTAAGTTCGTTAGAGAGAAAGCTCAAGAGGTGTTGGTAGCACACAATAAAATTCGAGGCGGTAGTGGAGCTCGGGCACGTGTGGAGAGACAGATATCATGGCAGAGACCAGCGCATGGTTGGATTAAAATAAATACTGATGGAGCATCGAAAGGTAATCCTGGTCTTGCTACTGCGGGGGGTGTTATGCGTGATGAGTATGGTGTGTGGCAGGGAGGTTTTGCTTTTAACATTGGAATCTGCTCAGCACCTTTGGCAGAGTTATGGGGAGTTTATTACGGGCTATGTATTGCTTGGGACCGGGGGTACCGTCGGTTAGAGCTGGAAGTGGATTCAGAGTGTGTGGTGGGTTTCTTTCGGACAGGGATTAATGATTCTCATCCTCTGTCATTCCTAGTACGGTTGTGCTATGGCTTCATATCAAGAGTCTGGATAGTCAAGATTTCGCATGTGTATAGGGAGGCTAATCGTCTTGCCGATGGATTAGCTAACTATGCTTCTTCTTTACCTTTGGGTTTGCATATTCTTGAGTTGGTGCCTGATAGTGTTGGTGCTATCTTGTTAGAGGATTCTCAGGGGATTCCTAGAACTCGGCAAGTTTGCCTGTAACTTTTTGTTTTTTGTTATAAATAAAGAGTAGGAGCTCGTGTCTCCTTCCTCCTACCAAAAAAAAAAAAAAAACAAACGCCAAGGATTGACAAAAAAATGTATAAATTTTAACAGCTCGGGACGTAGACGATTCAATTTGCAATCTTCGTGTCTTGTTTCTCTAAACCTTTTTTTTTTCTCTAAACTTTTTTTCCAAACAAACACCTGAAACAATCCCCATGGCTTCATCCTCCTATTCCACGGTCAATAGACTGTCACCACAACCTCAAGTCTACATAAATTTTCGTGGGTCGGATTCGCGCCTTGGATTTGTCAGCCATCTTGTCTCGGCCTTGAAAGATCATAACATTAACGTCTTCATGGACGCTTATGGAGAGACAGGCCAACCCCTAGGTTCCCTCCTAGAGAATATAAGCAAGTCGAGAATCGCTCTATGCGTCTTGTCCTCGAATTACACCGCGTCACGTTGGTGCTTGGCAGAGTTGACGAAGATCATGGATTGTGTGTAGAAAGGAAACATGGTGGCTATCCCCATATTCTACAAGTTAGAGCCATCCACAGTGAGACATATGAAGGGAGAATTTGGGGAGGCATTCATGAACCTGAACGAAAGTGATAGGATGAAGAAGAAGAAGTGGAAGCAAGCTTTGAAGTCGATTACTGACATGATGGGCATCGCAGTAAACGAGAGAAGGTATTGATTTTGGTTGAGAATTTACCAAAGGCCCGACCCTCTTGAAGCGATTCTGTTATTGGAATAGGGGTGATTGGTTGGGATGTAACTAATGACTTTAGCTTTAATTTCTATCTACAACCATAAAAGTTACCAATCATGCTTTATCTAGTTTTTAAAGCTAAAGTCAAAAATTTTAAAAAATGGTTATAGCACTTTTGTTTTCTAAAGCACTATTTTATATGCTGTAGAGAAAAAAATATTGATGTAGGAATATCTTTCCATTTTTGTTATTTTTTTTATTTAATTCTTACAGCTACATTTGCTACAGCTACATCAAAAATTTCTACAGACAAAATTCTACAGTAAAATGTTTACAGCTACATCCCAACCAATCACCCTCAATAACTTGACAATTATTTTGTTTGCTCTCGCTGATACTTGCCAGTGATGAGGTCTCTGCCGATAAAGAAACTAGGAAACCACCCCACGCGAAAATATGTTTTTTTTAAAGTAGTTTTTATATAATTTATATTTGTTAGTCAATTATTTTGAATCATGTAATAAACTAATTATTTTGTACGAAGATCAATACTTAAAAAATAATCTTATATAATAGAAGAGTGAAAATATAATTTGTGTTTGAAAATGTATAAATTTAAAAGTTATGTGTTTAGCATAACAATATTAAGTAAACTTTAATATTAAAGTCGCAGTCATTTTCTTTTATCTTTTTATATATGAGAAGACAAACTTTTAAAATTTGTTGAAACGATGGAACAGTTTAAATTTTTTAATTAAATAATATAATATGTTTTAAAACACTGTAATTATCATGCAAAGAACGACATTTTAAAATCTATGAGGCTTAGTACCTCCATACAAACTGGGTTAGAAATACAAAAAAAAATGGACTTTATCAGAAGTAGAATAAGAGATTACACAAAAAAATTTAGGTTGTTTTCTTACAGCCAGATTGGTTTGGATATGGTAGTTTAGTTTCACTGAAACTAAATCTATTAATTTATTTTTGCAGACACCACATTAAATTTTTAAAGATCGTTTAAAACTATATAATGAATCAAACGTTATATTCAAGAGTACTAAGAATCATACCTATATTAGAAAAAACACATAAATTTTCTTAAAAAATTGCATCTGTAAAACGTTCTATTTTTAGTAATCTGAAAAGGTACATTGATAGATTATCAAGACTTGTGTTTTGTTTTAAAATGAATATTTTCAAGAGTTGCGAGGAAAAAAAAGTTCAACCAAATACATTTTCAGGACCATTAGATAGAACCATAATAATTACAACCACGGGACTGAAACTCTTCAAAAAAAATTTAAAAAATCAAGAATTAGGGAAAAGTATGACTCTTCAAATTAAAGAGATGTGTTGTTTGAAAAAAAAAAATAACTGCTCATAGCAATTTTAGTTTAAGTATAAAAAAATTATTAAGACCAATAGAAGAAAAAAAAACAATTATAACCAAAGATTGTAATCCTTCAAATATGAAAAAGTATGACTCTTTCATGTGAAAAGATGTGTTGTTTGAAAAGAATATATGTTAATGCCATAAATATCGTATGTCTAAAAAACATTTCTTAGGACAATTGCATGAAAAACAAAACAATGGTTGAAAAATTGTATCTTTTCATAATAAACTGAAATATATTAGTTTAAAAGTTGCATCTTTCATTATAAAAATAATTTTGTATTTTCAAAAAAAAAAAATTGTTGAATGGTTGTATCTTTTCATAAGAACCGAATTATATTAGTTTAAAAGTTGTATCTTTTCATTACTAAACAAAGTTTATGTTTCAGATAAAATAGTTTAAAAGTATTTAAAAGAGAGTATAAGAATTGTGTCTTCTCAAAATAACAATTGTTGAAAGGTTGTATCTTTTCATAAAAAAAAACTTAAATATATTAGTTTAAACATTGCATCTTTTCATTATAAAAATAATTTTGTATTTAAAAAAATCTATTATTTTAAAAGTTGCATAAAAATTTTATTTGGACCATTATATGAAAAACAAAACAATTGTTGAAAGCTTGTATCTTTTCATAAGAACTGAAATATATTAGTTTAAAAGTTGTATCTTTTCATTATAAAAACAATTGTGTCTCAGAAAAAATAATTTAAAAATATTTAAAATAGTTATAAGAGTTGCGTCTTCTCATAATAAAAATCTACTAATTAAACAATCTTGATTAATTTCAAAGGTTGTGAATGCCGAATAAAAAGAAAATTGAGACTCTTTATAAAAATGTCTATAAGTGTGAAAGGTTGAAAATACAAAATAAAATGAAAAGTTGTGTCTATTTAAAGAACTGAAATATATTAGTTTTAAAGATTGTGTATGTTTTCATAAGAATTAAAATATATAAGTTTAAAAGTTTCATCTTTTTGTTATAAATAAAATTGTGTTTTTTTATAAAATAATTTCTATTATTTTTAAAATTGCATCTTTTTCATTATAAAAAAAGTTTGTGTCTCATAAAAAATAGTTTAAAAGTATTTAAAATAGGTTGTAAGAATTGTGTCTTCTCATAATAACAATTTTTGAAAGGTTATATCTCTTCATAAAAAATGAAATATATTAGTTTAAAAGTTGCATCTTNATAAAAAAAGTTTGTGTCTCATAAAAAATAGTTTAAAAGTATTTAAAATAGGTTGTAAGAATTGTGTCTTCTCATAATAACAATTTTTGAAAGGTTATATCTCTTCATAAAAAATGAAATATATTAGTTTAAAAGTTGCATCTTTTCATTATAAAAACAATTGTGTCTCAGAAAAAATAATTTAAAAATATTTAAAATATTTATAAGAGTTGTTTCTTCTCATAATAAAAATCTACTAATTATAACAATCTTGATTAATTTAAAAGTCTGTGAATGCCAAATAAAAAAAAAATTGAGACTCTTAATAAAAATGTCTATTAGTGTGAAAGGTTGAAAATACAAAATAAAATGAAAAGTTGTGTCTCTTTAAAGAAATAACTGAAAGATTGTGTCTCTTAATAAATAAAATGAGAGGTTGTCACTTAATAAAAATCTCAACTAATTCTAAAGGTTGTGAATGTCAAATAAAATAAAACTTGTGTATCTTAATAAAAAATCCCAATTAATTCTAAAAGTTGTGAATGTCAATCAAGATGAAATGTTGTGACTCTTAATAAAAATATCAATTAATGTGAAATGTTGTAAATGTAAAATAAAATGAAAGTTATTTCTCTTAATAAATAAAATGAAAGGTTGTGTCTCTCAATAAAATAAAATGAAAAGTTGTGTCTCTTAATAAATAAAATGAAAGATTGTGTGTCTTAATAAAAATACCAATTAATTCTAAAGTTGTGTATCTTAATAAAAATCTCAATTAATTCCAGAGGTTGTGAATGCCAAATAACATGAAAAGTTGTAATTCTTAATAAAAACGCTTATTAATGTGAAATATTGTAAAGGCAAAATAAAATGGAAAGTTGTGTCTCTTTAAAAAAAAGAAGGAAAAGTTGTGTTTCTTAATAAATAAAATGAAAGGCTCTGTATCTTAACAAAAATTTCAATTAATTCTAAAGATTGTGATGCCAAATAAAATAAAAAGTTGTGTATCTTAATAAAAATCTCAATTAATGTGAAAGGTTGAGAATGCAAATGTGGACTATTTTTGAAAAATATATTTTATGTTTTGTTATATACCCTTAAAAGTGTCTTTTAAGGAAACAAATAAATAATTAACCTTCTCTGATTATTTTTATATTTAATTTTAAAAATGGTTTGCATTTAAATTTGGCATACAAACTTTATAAAGTAGTTCCATAATTTGTTTAACACGATACACCTTGGATTGTATATTCATTTCTATAGGTGTGTAGTATTTACCATCATGAGTCATGCCTTTCCATTTTTCAAAAAAAAAAAAAAAAATTGATGTTAGTGTCTATTTGCTTTCATTACCATACATATGAATGTATATATTTTTATACTTATTACAAGGTACAATAGAACTTTAAGGCTGTTTCATATACACTTCTTTTTGAGCCATCGATCCATATCATGGATCATAGTCCATAGCACCCGACCAGGAACAATATGTTTACCACTCATGATGGCTCGGCCTTAACTCTAATGACTTGCATCCATAAGTATCAATGATATTATGTTCGTTCACTTTTGGTAACATTATGTTCGCACCCTTTCGGTGATGTTATATTCACACCTTTATGATGATGTTACATTCTCACCATTTTGGTGATGTTACATTCGCACCCTTTCGGTGACGTTCCATTTGCACCCTTTCGGTGACGTTACATTCACACCTTTTCGATCCCGAACCACTCGCACCCTTTCGGTGCCGAACCGTTCGTACCCTTTCGGTGCCGAACCGTTCGCACCCTTTCGGTGCCGAACCGTTCGCACCCTTTCGGTGCCGAACCGTTCGCACCCTTTCGGTGCCGAACCGTTCGCACCCTTTCGGTGCCGAACCGTTCGCACCCTTTCGGTGCCGAACCGTTCGCACCCTTTCGGTGCCGAACCGTTCGCACCCTTTCGGTCCCGAACCGTTCGCACCCTTTCGGTCCCGAACCGTTCGCACCCTTTCGGTCCTGACACGTTCGCAACCTTTCGGTACCAACATGCTCACACCCTTTCGGAACCGATACGTTCGCACCCTTTCGGTCCCGACACTTTCGCACCCTTTCGGTCCCGTCATGTTCGCACCCTTTCAGTACCGACACGTTCGCACCCTTTCGGTACCGACACGTTCGCACTCTTTCGGTCCCGATACATTTGCACCCTTTCGGTCCCGTCACGTTCGCACCATTTCGGTTTCGATACGTTCGCACCTCTTGGGTCACAGCACGTTCGTACCTCTTGGTTCATGACACATTTGTACCTCTTGGGTCACGACACATTTTTACCTCTTGGGTCACGACATGTTCATACCTCTTGAATCACGATACGTTCATACCTCTTCGGTCACGACACATACAAATATTATTTTCTAAAAAGTCAATATTTATATTTAAACTTATGAAAATGTATGACAAATATGATTGTTGCTATTAAAATGAAATATATGCATTTTCAATGAAGAGGTGTCAAATATTTGATGACATCATCAATTATATGAAAATATTTTTTTTGGTCCATTAGATTTTAAAATCAAGTTAACTATGACCATTAGATTGAATTTTCTTTTTCCTATAAAAAATGCTGATGTCACTTTCAATTTGTTATTATATATAGATTGTGGTCAACGTACAAAAAGTGCTTATCCAGAGGTAAAAGATTTAAGATTTTTTTCTTTAGCTAATCTTGCCGATTTCTTATTTTTTTAGTTTTCTTTAGAACGTAACGTTTTTCTCTTTTTAGAACTCAGTGTTCAACCACTTAAACTAATCTTGCTAACTTGTATTGTAACCTTATTTTGTTTGTCACAATGATAACTTGTAACTGAACCAATGAAGATGACTCTTGGTTGTTGCCTACAAATCAGGCCAACTCAACTTTTTCATAAAATTAAAAACTCTCAACCAAACTTGACTCACTCAAACTTAGCTTATTCGTGCAATCAACTAACGGTCTTCACTAAGTTTAAAAAGAAAAAAAAAACTAATGGTCTTCATTTCTCTCTCAAAACTAAACCATATATTATCTTTATTGGTGTTTAGAAATTTTCCGAGCCATCCATTGGACGGTAATGTCCCTTTCCAGCCACCGAAAACTCAAGTTTTCATAAATTTCGGCGGGGATCAGCTGCGCAAGAATTTCATTGGCTATCTTGTGGATGCACTGCAGAGAAGTAAGGTCAACGTCTTCGCAGACAATTATTTACATATAGGTGATGACCTCAATGAACTTTTCAAGAAGATAGAGTATTCTGGAATTGCGGTAGTTGTGTTTTTGAGCAGGTATTGTGAATCAAAATGGTGCTTGGAAGAGCTTGTGAAGATTAAAGAACTTGTGAGCCAAGACAAGGTCAAGGTGTGATCCTTATATATATTATTTTGCTACTTAGAATAAGTTAAGAGAAAATGACTATAATAACACTAAAAATTTTTTTGTCGCAAATATAGCACTTAAAAATAAAAATGACCAAAATATCACTTAATATTTTATCAAAAGATACAAATATACATATATATCCCAATGATAAATTAATTTAGACATTAGGGCTTAGAGTTAAGGGGAGATTTAGGATTTAGGGTTTAGGGTTTAGAGTTTAGGGTTTAGGGTTTATAATTTAGGTTTTAGGGTTTAGAGTTGGGGAGTGGGGTTTTGGGGATAATAATTAATTTTTGTAAAAAATAAAAAGAAAATTAAAATTTTCAAAAGATAAAATGCTATTTTGGTCATTTTAGTTTTTAAGGCTATTTTGTGACATAAACTTAAAAATGTGCTATTTTGGAGATTTACCCATAAGTTAAGACCAATATTATTTTTATTTTAGACCAGTATACGTGCATACATACTTTTGAGCTTGGACATGTATGTATTACTAACTTTGAGTATACATTTCTTCTGCCACAAGGTGATTCCCGTCTTCTACAAGGTGACTACAACCAATGTGAAAAGACTTAAGGAAGAGTTTGGTGACAATTTCAGAGATCGAGAGTGGGAGTTTGAGTCTGATGAACCTAAGATAAAGCGATGGAAAGATGCAATAAATTATGTCTCCCATGGTGGGAATAATCTCTGGTACTTTTTCCTTTTTTAAGCTCTCCACCGGAATATTTTTCCGATTTGCTAGTGTCCTTTTTTGGTGTTTTGGTTTTTTTGGGAAGTTATTTACCGGCACTAGTTTGCTACGGTATTTTCTCCTTTTGGTCAATTTAAACTTTAATAGTTTATTTTCTTTCCTTATTTTGGAATTTTGTTTCCATCTCTTCGTTCTTTTCTTTTCGCCCAAGTTTGCTCTTTCCTTTTTCGCGTGCCTTGAGAGAATATTTTAAGCAAATTGATATGATTTCCTTAAAAGTCATTTCGGAATATTGCTTAATTAGTGGTGCTTTCCGTCTACGCTCTGTTGATCTTCTTCTCGTTCTTTCACCAGAAAGCTTCGTGTGTGCTGATTTTTTATAACACTGGAGCAATGATACAATGAAAGTTTGGAAAAATACAAAAAAAAAGAAAATAGCAGAGAAATGATGGGATATCATTAGACATCGACAGTGAATGATAAAGAGACCTCACCCAAAACCTTATTACTGAACCTCTAAAGCAAGTAGGTGATGTAGCCAACAGGGTGCATTACGGGTGATGTAGGATTGGTGACGGTTGTCGCGAGTGACACTTATAGCAATAGCGGTTGCTGATTCGTTGCGCTCTGGAACTGCGTGGTCCAAACTCCATGAATCTATCCCGGCGAGGAGGAAGGAAATACTGTGACGAATATGGCTGATAGTACGGCAAAGTTCTCCGTTATGGCGGATAAACTACATTCCGCCTTGCGCTCTTTGAAGATTGGTGATGATGAACCTATTGATCTCCCAGATAGCCCAAGATTTAGGGTGTTTGAGGAGAACTCTAGGAGTTTGCTGGGTCGTTTGATCTCCCAGATAGCCCAAGATTTAGGGTGTTTGAGGAGAACTCTAGGAGTTTGCTGGGTCGTTTGTTAAACCCTAACTGTCAACCGATGGAGGAGATGATCGAGACTATGCCGCGTATTTGGAGAGTTTACGACCGTGTTCGTGGGATAGCCCTGTCATCAGAAAAGTTTCAGTTTGTGTTTCAGAGAGAGGAAGATCTGGAAAGGGTTTTAGAGGATCGACCTTGGTCCTTCAAGCAGTGGACTATGCTGATAGATCGTTGGGTGCCAACTCCTCCACGAGACTTCCTGACGACAGTGGATGTGTGGGTAAGGATAAGTAAGATTCCTATGAACTACTACAAGATTGAGACGATGGATTTCTTAGCCAGTAAAGTGGGGAAAGTTCTTGAGATTGCTTATGATCCAAAAGTATCTCAAAAGGAAATTTTTATTCGGGCTCAAGCGAGAATGGACATTGCTAATCCAGCCTTTGCTAGCAAAACTTTGAATCTCCCTAAAGGAGGTTCGGTGGTGATTGAGTTCGAGTATGAAAAGCTACGAAAGAAGTGTTTCACTGTCTTAGGTTGACGCATGAAAGACCATTATGTCCTCTACTGAATAGGAAGTTAATTGCTCAAGCTAAAACTGGTTTGGTGATCGATGAGGAAGTACAAAAGTCGAGTCCTGACGCTCAGGAGGTTGAAAGGCTTACATGCTCCACTCCAGCTGTACCACCGGGGTTTTCACCGTTGTTTCCGCAACTGCCTCCGGAAATGAGAAATGCTGCTCTGCAGTATATTTCTCATAGTGATGCGACGGAACGTTTGGCTCGTATTGCTCGAGTTGAGATGTCCATTCTAGAAGGAGCTGATAATTATGTACCGGCTAGGCCGGTAATCTCTCATGACCTGAATAAAGGGAAGGGTCACGTCTTTGGGTTTGTGGATGCACATAAAGGCGAATTTGAAGTTTCTTGTTCCTTCTCTCCGATTGGGTCAACAGTGTTTACGATTGGTTCATCTGCTGATGTCCATCCGTCCGGAACTCAGTCTGAAGGAAAGAAAACTAGAAGACGTCCAAGTAAGTGGAAACGTCAAGCTCAAGTCAAAGGTGGAAAGAAGGTGGTCGATCTTCAGACAGCTTTGGTTGTGACTGATGTTGAGCAGAGTGAAATGATGCAGAGACGTGAGGTGGGGTTAGAAGGACCAGCTAAACGTAAGGCTGTTAGTAATGTTGGGGATCATTCTTCAAAATCTCCGAAAACTTTTACAGAAACGGTGGCTTCCGATTTGAAGCCGCTGCCATCCCAATGAGCATATTGAGCTGGAACTGTCGCGGGGCGGGAAACACTGAGACAGTTAGTTACTTAAGGGAAATGTGTAAGTTGTATTTTCCTGATTTTTTGTTTCTCATGGAGACGAAGCAGAAGTTTAAGTACATGTCCGATTTGAAAAGTAATTTGGGGTATGATGAGTTGGTTACTGTTGAGCCGGTGGGTCTTAGTGGTGGCTTGGCGGTAATGTGGAAGAAGAATTTTGTGGTTTCAGTGTTGAGTAAGGACAAGCGTGTGATTGATTTACAAGTGGGAATGGGATCATTGACATTTTTCTTGTCTTGTGTTTATGGTGATCCTGTTACAGAGAGAAGAAAAGATGTTTGGGATAAGTTGCGACAGCTAAGTGTTTTGAAGTGTCATGCTTGGATACTTACTGGTGATTTCAATGAGCTTATGTGTAATAAAGAAAAGCTAGGTGGAGCTGTTAGAAGTGAGTCATCTTTCTGGGACTTCAGGAACATGGCAACGTCTTGTCAGCTGCGTGAATTAAGAAGTTCGGGTAATGTTCTTTCGTGGGCTGGCTGGAGGAACAAGATGTGGGTTCAGTGTAGGTTGGATCGTTGTTTTGGTAATAATGAGTGGTTTAATCTCTTTCCACGCTCTCAAGTGGAGTACTTGAACATGTGGGCCTCTGATCATAGACCACTCCTCACCCGTTTTTCACTGGAGATTGAGAACCCGTCGAGAGGAAGGTTCTATTTTGACCGTCGTTTGGTCGGCAAGGAAGGCTTGGAAGCGATAATAAGAGATAGTTGGTGTTTGGATGAGTCTGATGGTTCTGGGAACGTACTAGAGCGTATAGCAAGAGTTAGACAAGCTATAGCACGATGGAAAAAGTCGTCTGATACTCACTCTAAGGACCGTATCCATCGCCTTTCTCAGAAGCTAGAAATGGAGATTAAAAAGATAAGACCTGATGCCCAATACATGAGACAGTTGCAGAAGGAGTTAGCGGTGGCTTATGCTGATGAGGAGAGGTTTTGGCGTCAGAGGAGTCGTGAAAGATGGTTGAAGGAAGGTGATCAAAACACAACATTCTTTCATAACTGTGTCAAAGGGAAGAAGATAAAAAACAGAGTGCTGATGCTTGTTGATGAAGCTGGTACGGAATATTTTTCAGAGGGAGCTAAAGGGCAGATTGCCACAGACTACTTTCGTGATCTGTTCATGAGTACTAATCCCCATGATCTAGATACTTTGTTTGACGGTTTTCCGGAACGAGTAACTCCAGACATGAACTTGCGTCTTACGGCTCCGGTTACCCCCGAGGAAGTACGACGAGCAGCTTTTAGTGTGAAAGGTTCTAGTGCTCCTGGTGAAGATGGACTCACAGGTATCTTCTACCAGAAGTACTGGCATATCGTAGGTCCAAAGTTAACAGAGGAGGTGCTCAATTTCTTTAGCTCAGCTTGTTTGCCAGCTGGATGGAATCACACACAGATTAGTCTACTTCCAAAGGTGGTAAATCCAACATCAATGAAAGATATGAGACCTATTAGCCTATGTTCTGTGCAGTATAAGATCATCTCTAAGATACTTACCGAGCGTTTGAAACCGTTGCTGGGTGATATTGTGTCTGAAACACAAGGTGCCTTTGTTGGTGGCAGAATCATCACTGATAATGTCGCCATTGCTCATGAACTGGTTCATGGCCTTAGAACGGTTGACTCTTTGGCTGAGGGTTACATGGCAGTGAAAACAGATATGTCGAAGGCTTACGATCGTGTTGAATGGTGTTTTGTTGAGATGTTATTGGAGCGTTTAGGGTTTGATAGAGTGTGGGTGAGATGGATCATGGCTTCTATTTCTATTGTCTCCTACACAGTGTTGTTGAATGGTCGAGCTCATGGATTCATTAAGCCGGAAAGGGGTATTCGTCAAGGAGACCCCCTTTCTCCTTTCATTTTTATCTTGTGTGCAGAAGCTCTAGTGAATGTACTGAATAACTCTGAGTCGAAGGGTAAACTTCACGGAATTCAACTTGGTGCTGGTGGTCCATGTATACATCATTTAGTTTTTACCGATGATAGCTTGATCCTATGCCAAGATAATGTTGAGAACTGTGATGAAGTCATGCGGTGTCTCAAACTATACGGAGATGCATCTGGTCAGTGCCTTAACCAACAGAAATCTTCAATCATATTTGGTAAGCGGGTTTCAGCAAATGCTAAAGATGGAGTCAAACAAACCTTATCGATTGATAGAGAAGGTGGTGAGGGTACCTACCTTGGGTTACCAGAATGCTTTAAGGGGTCGAAGATTGAGCTTCTGAACTTCATCAAAGAAAAATTACAGTCTAGACTACATGGCTGGTATGCACAAAGTTTATCTCATGGTGGTAAGGAAGAGCTTATTAAAGCGGTTTGTATGGCACTGCCGATATATGCTATGTCCATCTTTCTACTACCCAAAACTCTCTGCGATAAGATTACTAGTGTTATTTCAGAATTTTGGTGGAGTAGTGGGAACCATAGAAGAAAAATCCCATGGGTGGCATGGAAGAAGTTGTGTAGAAAGAAGGAGGAAGGTGGTATGGGATTTCATGATATAAGAAGGTTTAATCAGGCATTATTGGCGAAACAGGCTTGGAGGGTTTGGTCTAGACCAGATTCTCTAGTGGCTCGTGTACTTAAGAGTAGGTATTATCGCAACTCAACTTTCATGGAGTGTGGTGTTGGTTCTCGACCATCGTATGCTTGGAGGAGCCTGATGCAGGGACGCAGTTTGTTATCTGAAGGGATGGTTAGACAAGTGGGGAATGGGAGAGATACGAATGTCTGGTCAGAAAAGTGGATTATCGATGAGGTTCCGACGTTCCCAATGTACAAAGAAGACAGTGTCATTGATCTTA